AGACGCGGCTCAGGTGGGCCTTGAGGTGGCTCACGCTCCAGCTGCGGTCGCCGCTCAGCTCCAGGTCGCGGTGGCGCTGGTTGGGGCTCTTCACCAGGAGTGTGACCGGCTCGGGCTCCGGCTCCATGTCGGCGGCGTCCGCTGTCCGCTGCGCTCCGAGGTGCCAGGCAGTCGGCGTCGCAGCCGCCCAAAACCCCCGCAACGGCGGTTCCAGTCTCTGGGGCGCGCGCCCCCTCCTCGGGAGCCTTTTATGGGCGCCCCGCGCCTGAGCGCTGCGGACAGAGCCCTCTGTGGCTGCTGCCCATTGGCTGAGGGGCAGGCACTGCCCCAACGTGGCCCAATCAGCGCCGGATCTGTAGCCGGGGAGGCGGGCCGAGCTCGTGAGCGCGGGCTGATGCAACCCGTCGCGGTTGCGTCACCCCGAGTCCCGGCTGCGGCCCGGGAGCCTACATTCGGCGGCCATGTTTGGGTGTGCGGCGACCTCGCGGCCGCCGCGGCCCAGAGGAACTTGGGTCGCGCGTAGCAATCCCGAGCTCGGGTTGCACAAGGCACCCTGGAGGGGCCAGCGCGGCACGCGCTCGGCTTGGCAGGCCCTGCAAATTGTTTCCTCACAAAACACACCCCCACCCCTTTTGACCCCCTATGCTAAGACACACTTCTCTTTTTCCTTCCCTGGGGGGGTCCAGCTGCCCTGCAAGGGAGTCCCCCTTATTCCTACCCAGGCCTCAACTCAAAGAAGGGCCGGGCGACCCATACAGGGTCCCTACTGTAAAGGACAGTAACCTTCCCGAAAGGCCTCTCTGATGGAGACACTGCCTCCCTCCCCTCTGTAGGAAAAACAGAGCTTGAGATATAAAGCTGACTTTGTGCAGGCCCCATCCTTGTCCCCATCTGTTGATGTGTACTGGTTTGCTGACAAATTTATTGTCTCACAGTTCTAGCAGCTAGAAGTCAGATGAAGATGTTGGACAAAGTTGGTTCCTCCTGAGTTTTGTGGGGGAGAATCTGCTCTCTTTCCCAGCTTCTGCTGGGTTGTTGGCCATCTGGCAGCCCCGTGTCACCCCATCAGTGTCATCATGGCCACGTGGCATCCTCCTGTGCTACATGTGCCTGTCTCCGTGTCTCAATGGCCCTCATGAAAAAAGGCATCAGTCATACGGAATTAGACTCCAAATAATCTTAACTTGATCATCTGCAAAGACCCTACTTGCAAATATGGGGGTTTCATAGATATTGGGGGTTAGGACTTCAACATCATTTTGGAGGACATAGTTTGACCCATTGCACCTTTCATGTATCATAGAACATGGGTGGTTTCGGCTGTCTTTATACCAAGAAGGGAGGTGAAAGGATTTGGTGGTAAGCTTTCCCGGTGCTTGCCCTTGTATGAGAGGGTTTTGTCTGTGAAGGAAGGTTCTGTCTCTTTCCATCCGTGCTGGTTTCAGGACCGCGGGGTCTGGGCAGTCATGCAGGGCCCTGTCTTGGTTACTGCTCTGCTGTTACTGCCTGAAACTCCGCACATATTTTGAACACGAGTCTGTGCATTTTTGCTTTGCCCTCACCCTACAAATTATGTAGCTGGTCCTGCTTTTCGTGCATTGTGGTGGAAGCCAATGACGCTTATGGTTTGGTATAGTCTTACAACTAACTAGCTAGAAGCTAATCAATGGGGCAGTCTCCTGACCCCCTCATAGGCCAGATAAAACAAGCAGAGACCTTGGAGGGGCAGTGAGGCAGGCGATGCGAGCGTCTTGGGAACCTGAGTAAGTCATATCGCCTGCCTTCCTCCAGCCTGTAGCAGCAAGTCCCAGGGCCCTACAGGGCGTTGACATAGCATTAAGCAAGTAAAGGGGTTTTCTGTCAGTTTCTGTGATTCCCTCTTGAGTTACTGCCCAAAGATATAGATCTTTTTAAAGGACTTGGATGAATCTGCTTATAGTACATCTAGAAAAACATTGCTTTAAGTCAACAACTGTGCCAGGAATAGAAAGATAAACACAAAATGACCCCACTGTGACCTTACTTTGATAAAACAGCACAAAAATACAGGCAAAATGAAACCCACAAGGGGTGGGGTTGTGGCCAATCAAAAGTGATCATTGGTGTCCTGAGAGTGGACTCGCTCTGGGAAATGAACCAGATGTTGTGTTCCAAGATTCCAAAGTGTTCCGAACCAATTACACCAGATAAACACACAGCAAGATGCATAATAATAAATTTGTTGAGAATCAATAATAAAGACAGAATTTAAAAATATCAAAAGGAAAAAGGGAAAGCTGGAAGGAAACACCACTTAGACGATTAGCCTAAGTTTCAACAGAAACATTACAAGCATGAACTGAAAAGAGATATTCAGAGAACTTAAAGAAAAAGGCTTCATCCTACAATCTTTTCCCCAGCAAGATTAACAATCAAGATAAAGAGTAAGGAGCTTCACTGAAATGCAATAACTAAAAGATTTCTCAACACCAAGCTGCATAGGAAAGAAATCCTAAAGGTATTATTATAAAGCAACAAAACAACAAATATGGAGGCAAAACACCCCAATATTCCTTAACATGGAGGAGCAGGAAACTCCATGACAACCAGCCAGAGGCCAGGTGGTCTAAGAGGGCACAGAGATAGCCATTCAAATAATAACCTCAATAAAACCCTCAAAAAAAGAAGTCAAACAGAAGACGTGAAAATGGAACCTAACTGACAATACCAAAAGGGGGAAATAGCTCAGGTGTCCATCATGGGTGAGTGAGATAAGCAAATGTGGTCTGTCCATGCTGTGGAATATTACTCGGTCATAAAAAGGAATGAAACACTGACATGTGCTACGTGGTCACCCTTGCAAATCTGCTAAGTATACCAAGCCAGACTCCAAATGGACTCGATGTATACAAACAGTTCCAAATAGGTAAATTCCAGGTAGAAAGCTGATGAGTAGTTGTAAGGGTTCATGGGGAGTGATTGCTCTGGGCCCAGGATTTTCTTTCGGATGATGAAAATGTTGTGGAGCTAGGTAGTGACAAGGATCGATCATGTTGTAAATGTCATTGAACTGCACAAGGTAAAATAGTGATAGTGGTGAATTTTATGTTTTTTACCACTATAAAAAACATAGCCTATTTGATTTCCTAGGTTCTGATAACTGCTATTTGCCAGCCTGTCTTGCAATGGTGGGAGGAACCCTGCTAAATAACTACCACCCTTTCAATTACCCCAAATAGGTTGGGGTTGAGCCAGATAGGTAAGTGACAGCTGCCTCACCTTATTTTTTATTTTAAAGATTCATTTATTTATTCACACAGAATGGGGTACAGGCCAGAAGTGCAGGGGGTGGGGAGCAGAACAGGCAGATGGACAAAGTACATTGCTGAGGAGAGCAGCAGGTGGGTCGGGAGAGGTCATGTCCGTCACCTGCAAAACGTGAGTCACCTCTGGGGCGGGAATCGAACTTGCACTGAAGCCACCACAGCTTGGCTTAGCTTTGTAGTGCAGGGCTCCAACCTGCTGTGCCACCAGGGAGGGCCCTGTCTCACCTTGGTATCCCCCTCATAAGTTAATTCATTCCTGCCTTTGCGGAGACTCGGGGTCAGACGCTCCAGGTCCCCAGCTCTCAGAGGCGGCCTCTCCGTTTGGCCCCAGGCAGAAGTGACTGAGGAGGGCCGTGTGCCATGTGCTCTTGGCTGCCTGGTGACTGAGCCCAAGTAACCCCAGAGGCCCACTTGTCCCCCATTTCAGACCCCTGTCCAGTCCTTCTGTCCAGTAGATATTCTGATTGCTGTCCAACATTTTACTTTAAAAAGAAAAGAAAAAAGCTGGAAGTTTTGTTGGGCCTTCTCACGGGCACAGAGTCGAGTCTTTTCTGTACCATATTTGTTCCTTTTTATTTCCCCCCCACCCCCCACCCCCAGCAAAATCCGCAGCTTCCCCAAACTGGTTTCATATTAGGTTTAGCGTGTGAGCAAAGATGCATGGACTACAGAAATAGCTGCGAGCCAGATTCTTGTTCAAATCATGGGACTTTCTGAGCTCCGTGAGTTGAATTTGCTTGTCAGCTTCCTTTCATTCAGCTGCGGGCTGTTCTTCCTGACATGCTCCAGAGCCAGTACTCCCCTCTTCTCTGACCTGGTCAGCTCCGCTGCAGCCCCCATCACTCACTCAGGTAATTGGAATTCACACCCCACCCCCACCCCCACCTTGATTCTTTGTGAACAGGCTCCACCCCTTTCCCTGCACCTGGCTCTACTCCCCGAATGAAGCCTTTTTGCAAGAGAGGACCCTTGGTTCTGCACAGGGATGTCACACCTTTCTCTTCTTCCCTCTGCCCTGGTTGGTGCTTCTTGGCTGGTGATATGCACCGTAGCAGGCTTTGCTCACCTAAAGACCCACCTGCCTGCAGGTACCAGCTCTCTTTGCACCCTTGGCCCATCCGAAGGATTCTAGCTTCTACTGCACTCTCACGGTGCTTGAACCTTTATCTCCACTCACCTTTATCTCGTCTCTGCTCTGCTCGCAATGCCCATTACTATGAGTCATTCATTATCCACTCATATAGTCACTCAACAAACATTGACTGAGCACCTCCTCTGTGCTGAGCCCAGTGCTGGGTGCTGGGGTACAAAGCTGAGTCAGACGTGGTCGCCAGCAGGACTGACCTGGCAAATAGTTGCTGCCTTCGCTATCTTCCAACTGCCCCCAGCCTGAGGCTTCCAGCTAACCCCTCATGCCAACAACTAAAAGCTTCATCCCAATGACCACCTTCTTGGGGCTCACAGTGAAAAGGGTGGGCACCCTAGATTTGGCTCAGAAAGCCTATGGCCTTTCAGACTTCAAAGTGCACAGACACCGGCCACAAACGCCCCTGCTCGTCGGGTCTCCCTCTCTCCCACTGAATATCCTTTCTGTCCTAATGCTACCTGCTTCTTAAGGCCTCTCAGCACTTGTAAGGAGTCACCGTCAGCCATTTCCATGGATTTTTTTCATCCTCCTTAACCCTTCCTGCCTAGGCTTTCGCCCTTCTTGCTCGACCAGCTCCATCCCTGGGAAACATGTCACCTGTATCTGTTTGCTTTCTGAGCCAGTGCTCGGGAGGCCTACGGGGGAAGGAGGCTGAGAGCCAAGTGCCCTTGGCTACCAGTCATTCACGACGTATGCCCCCATGCTGCTTGGCCAAACACCCCCTGGCCATTATTACTTCTGCCTCAGCTGTTCTCTTCCTTATACCTGAAG